TGTCAGTTCAGAGAAATGATCCAAGGGAAACTTTGTTGAGGGCAATGGTTTTCCACAACCCAACAGACAGATGCTGCACATGTGAACAAGTAAAAAGATAAGGAAAGCACCTGTCAGCCTTACCCTGTGAGAAACTCTAGCCACTCTAACAAAAATAAGGACTGGGAAAAGCACATCTGTGTGATGCAATGAATGACGCACGTGTGCATGAATGCAGCCCTACTGGGGAAATGACTGCAGAGAGCCCAGAGAAACTTAGGTTCTGTAACGGTGATTGTGAGCTCTTCTTTCTTAAGGGAAATGAGTATCTTTCTTTTTTTAAGCACACAGCTGTTTCCTTTTACTGACATCTCCTGAATTCCCCATACTTATCTTCTCCATATTTGTTTATTTTACAGTTCTGGAAGTTCCTTTCTAGCAAATGGATGATACAGAAAATGTTATATATACATATGTGCATGCATGTGTGTGTATCTCCATACTTCCATGGTCTTGCCGGGCAAAGAAGCATTTCTAATATGCTTTCAGATCAAGGTCCATCAATGTGGGCTTTTCTCCCTTTTTTCCTGTTTTTTTTAATGATGGATTTAGGTTATTGCCTGCCAACATTTACTGCCTGAAGCTTCACTTTAGGCCTGCAGCCCCGTGTTAAGCAACGCTGTGCAGTGCCTGTGCAGCCCCGGGCGTGAGAGCTGCCCTGGAGGCAGAGGTGGCACCCAAAGGGTGGATGCGTGGTGGCTGCTGCCGTGCTGCTGGTTGCAGATGACCGGTGTTCAAGCCCCAGCACAGCCAGCCTGGCTCCCACTGAGTGGAAGAGGCCAGCAAGTCTGCTGAGTGCATACCTTGGCCTTCTGGAGATCTTAATCACACCTAATTTATAACAGAGACAAAATCCAATAACTTCTGGAGACTTTGTAAGAACGCTTAGCACAGTCCAAATAATAGCAGCACCAAAAGCTCACAGCATAAACATCTTTTAAGCTAAAATGGAAATAGATACTGGCAGAAGATTTTTCTTTCTTTCCTTAACACAAAGATTTGAAAGGGAGGAGAAGTATCACAGATAGGCAATTCCTTTCAGAGGGATTTCTTTATATATCTCCATGTGAAAGCTGTTGGTAAGGGAAGAAAAAATAAAGTAATGCTCTGAAATAAAATTTGTACAGATGTAGCTTTTTTTGAAATTACACGTCATTTCTCAAGAATTCGATGTAGCCTTTAGTCAGCCTTGTTTCTTACAGTTCTCTGTGCTTTGCATGGTAATTAGCCGCTCATGTTATCAGCAGTACGATGCTCCCGGCTATGTCTTCAGCAGCCACTGCTGTTATCCTCGGCGGCAGCTCCTCGCATCCTCCTGCCAGACTGTACGGCAGCCACACGTGTGTGCAGGTGTTTGGCGTTCTTCAGGCTGCGCTGTCTGAGGACTGAAGGTAATGGGCGCAGCATCCGAGAGGGAAGAGGCTGGAGCCCACTTCCCCCGACAGCTCCCTGAGACTTGCCAGTATTTCGCTGACGGTTCATTGGAGGTTCAGTGAGGCGAGTTTGTTATGACGGATCACAAAATGCAAAGGGAGGCAAATCACCTGGGTTCATCAGTGTCAGAATAAATACAGGGTAGCAGCTCCTCGGCTTAGTTGGGAACAACAGCCTCAAAACCTTTATTTTGTTTTGGTTTTTTTTTAAGTAATTAAAAGATTTATTGCACAAGTGTACTGTGGTGTGCAGCCTATAGAGAGGGTGAAGGGACTGCTTTGCGCAGATTGTCGGCACTTCTGACATCAGCATTATGCAGGTGCTGCGTCACGCAGCCAGCACTGACGCAATAGTGTTTGGATCAGGCAAGTCCACTCACTGATGCAAATAGCGTGACGAGTGCTCTGTGCTATTTGTTGTCTGCAGGTAATGCAATCTCTTCTTTTCATTCAGATTTCAAGAAACATTTACCAGCTTTTTTTTTTTTTTAAACTAAAATACGGCCATGAAGTTAAATTCAAGTTGCCACATTCACGGGCAGTGAGGGTTCCTCTGTAACACAAGTAGAGATGTAGCAGAGAAGGAAGCTTTTAGAATAAGAGTGGGGAATCTTTTCCATACCAACACCTACAGACACTTTTCAGACATACCTTAGGTCCCACAATAACACTCTGCATTGTATTATATGATATCATGAAGAAAAACATAATATGGCCCCAGGCCATATGAAACTGAAGTTGCTTGCTGTGTGCAGAGCATGGACTGTTAACTTCCCCACCCTTATTCTAGAAAGTTTGATGTCAACGGTAATGTAAGATCCTTACAAGTATTCAAACAGAAAATGAATTAATAAATTTATGTTTGACATTCAAAAGATGAAGAACAAAGGGGAAAACATAGAAATAGAGTTGTTTTTCCAAACATTGTTTTCAGTTTTGCGTATCTTGTCTTTGGTTTAGTGTTTCCAGCTTTTTTTTTTTTTGCCTTTTGAAAGGTGGTGTGGTGTTATTGAGAGAGAGATGTGAAAAGTTTTTTTACTCCCTGCCCAGAGATATGATGTGCTAGGGAGAATAGCTATAGTTTCAGTTCTGTGGTAATGGAAAGTGTAATTTCTTGCTGATGAGTATTGCAGACTTATTTCATTACACTTCTAGGAGGGATATTTAATTTTGTAAGAGAAGCATGTTTTTAAACCTACTCTGAAATAGCCTATTGCCAAATTTACCTTCAGTAGTTTTGTCTTCACACAAAAATAAAGGGCACAATTTTACTGTATGTTCAACGTATTGTATACAGCATAAGATGGTAGGTCATCTCATCCCTCCTTCTGTAAGGTGGCAATGGACTAGAATATTGAATTTGAGGTCTGGCAGTAAATTCGTTGCTCCGTAAACAAGGCGTTCATGATGAGGGCTTTACACTCTCCACTGTTGTTAATGGGATAACAAGTCATAGGGTGGGGTTTGGGGAAGAAAAGGGAGAAAATGGAGGGAAACCCACAGAGAAGAGAGAGATAAAAATAAGCTAAGATGAATTTTTAAATACTTAAATATCCAGAGATTGTTGTGCTGTTTCTCTCTATCTTGTTACCTTCATTGGCAACATGAACTCTTGCACTTGCACCCCTGCTCCGGTGGCAGGAAGGTCGCACACGGCATTGTGTGGCTCCTCGGGGACAGGGCTGAGAATAGAGGAGGGCTATCTGCTCAGGGCTGCAGCTTCTCTTCAGCACCCGTGCATCAGATATGAGTAATTCTCCAAAGGCTGACCTTATAGTGTGCTTAGTTCCTTTCCCTTTGAAATCAGTGGTGTAACTCCTGGTGAACTGTAAAGCTGACGGACTGCATTGCACTGAAGAGAGTTAATGCGATTCATTTGTTTAACAATCAAGGGCCATATTCAGCGAAGATTTAGCAGGAGTGCTGACAATAAAACACTTATGACTTTCTATGAATTGGCATGAAATAACAGCCACAAAAAATTATGAAACATAAATTGTCCCCTTGCATATGCACGACTGCCATACTTCTGATCTTGGTTACAGCTGTTAGGCTACAAGCAGCGGTGGATCCAGACCTCTTCAGTGACTCAGCTCAGGCTGGGGAACAGCGGTGACAGTGTCCAGGACTTGCACAAACTGGCTAGTGGTATCATTTGGGTCTGGTAGGCACAGAGGTATCCATTTTTGAAAGTGCTTCATGATTTTTTGGGTGCCCAAATGCAGATGAGGTAGAGAAATCTGATTTCCTGGTGACAAGAGCTCAGCACTTTGGAAAATCAAATTGCTTTGATATTTCTCCAGGTGGGCACCTGAAAACTCAGAACCTCCAGGTGGTTTTTGAAAACAAGAGGCAAAGAGCAAGCTCACCTCCCTGCTAGCTCTTTGGGGACAGTAATTAATCATATTGGTTTTGTTTCCATCCCCACTTCCCACATGGGAAGACCTCAAGCCCCAGTCTCCTGCCTCCTGAGTTACTTGTGTTCTGCAAAAGGAAGAAAACCTTTCTTTGGGGAATTGTCAGGGAATTTAATGTGGTAAAGTAAATCCTCAGAAGACTGTATCTTGTGGAGAGCTGCAGGAGTATACCCCCTCAGTATCAGTACCTCCATCCGTGGTGTGCCCTCTTCCCAGTTGTGCTGGGCAGCGCAAGGGGACCGTGGCCAGGGGACAGGCAGGAAGGCGGGGGGCGGGGGCATAAGTATGGCAGACTGGTGTCTTGCACTGCCTTGTCTTTGCTGACAAGAAGTTTGCGTCCTAATGAACAACCAAGCGGACCACGTAGTTGAGGCACCGGCTGGATGGTTCCTATAACGGGATCACTGCTCTGCCAAATCTCTGATTTCCCCTCTCCAGAATGGCTCTGGAGGAAGCTACACCATTCAGGAGAGCCAAATTCCTCTGTGCCCTCAGTCCCACAACGTACAGGTGGGTTTAGCATCAGCGTTTTAGGAAATCATAGCCTTCTCAAGGCCACTGTGCTGCCTAGCCCACGCTCAGTGTTGCAGCCTGTGTTGCAGTCTCTGCAGCTCTCCCCTCAGCATCACAGCTGCCTCTACGCTATATATCGTCAGGCTTCACATAGGCAATGTCACTGCAGAGTCTTTCCTGCACAAAGGATGCGAAGAGGTGTTATTTATTTAATATAAATAAATGTGCATAATGGATATATGTACATGCAATAACTGTTTTGCTTATGCTTACTCATATGCAGTATATCCAAACCAGCAGGAACTGCACCCAAAAGTGGTGTAAACAAAATCCTATGAATTTATACAAATATGTTGCACTCATATGTAAACACTGCAAATATTACATCTTCCTGTGGTGCTGATGGGGAATAATTTGAGAGTTTTAAGCAGTGCAACTTTTCAGATGCTGGAAAGGCTTGGCATCATTTCGAAACTGTAATAGAGGTTGGAATATATTTCATGTGACAACCATGTCCTCAAACCTGCTATTTGTTGTTTCTTTTTAAAACACAAGCAAACTATTTTCTCATTTTGTTTACAGGACAGTGGAACAGGAGATAACAGCTGCATTGAAGAAATATTGCGGGTAGGAATCCTTAAAAAAACATTTTCTTCTAGTGCCATTTTGTTTACTCCAAAAGGACAAGAGAATAACAAGAATATTGCAATTACTGCTGTTAAAAATATTACTCTTTTAGATTGTCATCTTTCTAAGGAAAAAGTAGGCAAAATTATTTCCTCATGAAAAATAATTGAAAAATCTGTGAAAACAACCTTCTAGAGCCTCTGGATTTCACTACTACTTTGTGCCAGTATGGCTGACCTTCATGCATGCAGAAGCAGATAATGGGATAAATTATAAACTGAAATGTACAATGATGTTTCAGGTTTACAAACCATGCAAAGTGCATGTTTCCATTAATCACGACTGTCAAAAATCTTAATTTTGAAGAGAGGTCTAGGAAGGTCATTTTCCACCTGGATTTAATTAGAATCCATTATGTAATGTCATTATGTCCATTATGTCCATTATATAATGACAATGTGCAAAATCCATAGTTATTTCCATATTTCATTATTATTTCTTTTATCTTAGTAATTTCTAGTTTATTTTCATGGAGCAAATTAATACACATCCAGACAGATCTTGGCTTGAATGAACTATAATATTGATTATTTTCTGAGGCAGACAAATTTATAAACAATGAAACATTTCCATATATTTTAACTCGTGTTTTTCTTTGTTCTTTTTCTAAACTGATAATTCAATAACTCACAATGCTTATATATCTGATATAATAGTGAGTGAAACACCAAACAAGGTAGATGGAATGGTAAAACCTCCCTATTACTGTGTGCGCTTCTACCTCTTGGATATCCACTACCCAAATATTTCAGATTGTTTATAAACTATGGGGCTATAAATATTTGGTTTAGAGATTAGTAGTGCATTAAGCCTGTTGTTTCTAAAGGCATTTCTCCATTCTCCCTGAATATGTTAAATACAGTTTTTAATTCTTAAACTGGACAAAGAATTTATTGAAGGGTGATGATGATGGATGGCTCATGACTTCACTGGCAGAGCTTTTACTTAGCTAACGTTTACAAAGTAGGTTTTTGAAGGGCTGAACCGCACATTCAACAAGCCTTAGCCTCAGTCCCTGCTGTTTTGTTACAAATTAGTAGCAGATAGTATAATTCATGAGAGCTTTTTACATTTTTCACAATGAACTAAGTATATGATGTGATGTGAGGCTCATTCACCCCTTTTTTATGCAAGGCTTTTAAAATGAACAGTCAAAGAAGCTTGTCTTCCTCCTTAGGTTGTACAATTTGGCTTGTGCAATTAGCCAGAAAATGTGGAAGAGACATGGTTCCTTCCACACAGAGGAACGTGGGTATGTAAGAGACCCCAGCTGAGAAGAAAAATTCACTGTATGACTAGGGATGGTAAGGTGCATCTCCAAACCAGTGAACGCCGCTGCTGTTCTCTCTTTTTTTCCCCCTTGGGAATGTTCGAGAAATATTTTCACGAAGCTTCATGATGAAGCATTCAGGACATCCTTGGATGGGTAGGACCCTTTTGTTCATGAGGATTTATTCACAAATTCTTTCACTTTGCTTAAAAACTTAATAAACCAATCCATAGCTCAAAAGCCACACCTTGCATCCATATCTCGCTATCTGCTGAGGCTTAGCATGGCTAAAATAGAGAGCGCACTGTTTTCATCCCCTAGCTCTTGTCCTCACACGAATACTCAGTCATCATGGGTAACCTCCCCAGTCTGTCCATTCTCCAGGTCTTTAACCTGAGTGTCACTTTCTATTCCGAACTCCCCTTGTGTCACTGTGTCTAAGACTATGCGTAAATCTTGCAGACTGTTACTCTATAGCATTTCTAGCTGAAGCTCTTTATTCACAAAGGTATAAGTCTCAGGTCCAAATTCTCATTACCTACCTTGATTGCTGCAACATCTTTTCCTTGGTTTTGACAAATGCAATGTTACCCACCTCCATTCATGCTGCTGTGCAGATCATTTTACTAGCTTGACACCTTGCCCAAAGACATTTGTCTTTACATCTCACCACTGTCATCTCCTTCTCTATCACATGAAGTACAACTATTTGTCCCTGATCATAAGGTCTCAAGTCTACCAGTTCATGCTAACATATTATCTCCCACTCTAGCTTACCTGGTGATGCCAGCCTCTGTTACCCTGTTGCTAAGTTTTACATCAATGAATGAATTTCTCCCATGCTTCCCATCAGATCTGGGAACAGCCTTGAACACTTTGCCAATTAGCACCATACCTACCTTCAGATCCTTTCTTAAGAGCCTCTTTTTTCACAAGGACTGTGGAAAAACAGTGGTGAGGTCAGGGCTGTACCACTGTTTCTCATGCTTTAGCATTGTTGTCCCACTTGTCCCTTGTAGTGCCCAGTCAGGCCAGATGTAGCCATCTGCTCTCTTTTGTCCTGAAAAGTGAACTTTCTGTGTCAGGGAACTGCTGTATAGTACAAAAGGAGTTCCTAGGTACTCTCGCAATATAAATCCCTATCAGCAGTGGTTGCTGTTACTGATAATTAGCAAAAGCAGCAACAGTAATAATGTGCCACTGCTACTCACTTTGTAAATTACTGGCATCCAGACTTTTCCAGCCCTCTCTGTGCCCTCTTTTTGTGCTGAACAGATCCATTCAGTTTAACACAGATTTTCTGGTTTTCTGAAATAGACTATTTATAAGGAATGCCATTTCCATGGTTTTGTTGGAGGTGCTATTCACATAGTAAAGCCAAAGTTTAGCTCCTTTTTGGACAGAATATGTGCAGTTCCTGTATGGGTGCCCAGAGGCAGACAATGAAATGCCACAGGAGCTGCAATCCTTGTGTTCCCCTCAGAAAAGATGGCTCTTTGCTGGCGCACTGGAATGTGTTTATTATAGGAAGGGCCACTCTACTGTACGGACCATCAGCAAAAGGAAGAAGATGCTTAAAATTTATCTTTTTAAGGAACATTGCACCCTATTTTAGCTGTCTCTTGCACAACACAAAGCAGAAAACATCCTCTCTTTCTAGACAGTGTGGCCCCTGCACACGTCAGGCTGTGGCTCTTCCAAGGGATAGCTACTTCCACAGCATGTCCGCGTTTCCCCAGGCAAGACCAAGAGCAATAGAAAGTGTGCCCCAAGTCTGCTCCATCTGCTTCCCCGTGCTTCCTTTCCCCAGCGGGTGAGAGGAGACAAGTGCTGGTTTGTGCACAGATCGTGTCACCCTCTGGTTTCAGGGCTGGGCCAGAGCTAACATCTGGCCCTGGGCTGCAAAATCAGTTGAGGCATAGCTTTAAAATCACCAAATCTTGTTTTGCACTAACTGTGACAAGAATTTGCAGTCTTTGTGCTGCTTGGTGCAACGCAGGGTGCCACGGCTTAAGTCTAGCCTTTTTTGATGTTGTTTTACCAAATGTATCAGAGCTCTGTAGACTTTGTAAATTGACAGATCATTCTGCATGAAACTGCAGCTTCCAAAAAAAAGCCCCCAAGAACTGAGATGCAGAACCGCTTCCAGTCCTGAAGGAGGTTGATTAACAAGACAGTAACCCTGTCGAGATCGGAGCTGTTGTAAGGACTCCTGCTGAGTTTATAATCACTGCAGGAATCCTGAACCTCATCTAACCCCATGCACTAATTTATAGCAACTTCTTCAAAGTGTACTGACTCCTCTGTCCAGCTGCAGGCACGCACATAGAGGACAGAGAAACTTCTAAGAGAGCCTTCAATGTAAATAACTCTAGTAAGACCGAGTTACAGATGTAATGTCAAATCAAGAGAGAAAAGCCTCATTACTTGATGATAGCTGTAAAAGGCAATTCCTTGCAAGCTTTCACATTGTTGGTGGAGGACATGGTAGAAAACTTTGAAGTAGATAAGAGTTAAGGCTACACAAATATCTTTTATTCCACCATGCCCTGAGCAGTTGCTACCTGAGTTCCTGAGACACCGCCAAAGCCAACCTATTGACTTCCTCGCTAAAACACAGGCTTGCTAAGCAAGATCAGTAATTTTGGCTGATTTTTATTTGATTTTATTAGTGTGTGGAACTGTGTATTTTGTTGTGACTGGCGGGGCTTGGAGTAAATGTTGATTTTGCTCTAGAACACAGGAAAAATGGGAGCAGTGAGAGTCCTGCTTCTCCACTAAGTTAACTGTTGCGACCAATATCAGATGCACTCTGAATATATTTGCTATGGATTTAAGGAGATAGGGAGTGTGTGAGGTGCAAGCAATTCTTGGTTTGTAAGATAAGTGGTTGGAGATTGATCTGGCCGTTCTTACAGTCTTAGCTGTGATTTCCTAGAGTGGCTTTCTTGAAAGGAAACCCACAGGCAAGCTGAGGTTTTAATTATTGAAGATGTTCCTTGTGAATTCCCTTCTTTTTTTTCTGTTGACATGAGAGCTGTCGTTGAGCTGGGGAGAGACGGATGTAGTTTGTTTGGCCTGCAAACAGTGTTTGGCTGCAGGATGCAGAAACAGTGGGAAGCTGATGGAGGAGAGCAATGGGAATTCAGAGAAAGGGCTAGAGGAATACTTGGGCGTACTGGTGGATAAAAAACTGGTCTTGAGCTGGCAATATACTCTCACAGCCCAGAAAGCCAACCGTATCCTGGGCTACATCAAAATAAGTGTGGCAGGCAGGTCAAGTGAGGTGATTCTCCCCCTCTGCTGCGCTCTGGTGAGACCCCACCTGGAGTACTGCGTCCAGCCCTGGGGCCCCTGGTACAAGACAGACGTGGACCTGTTGGAGCGGGTCCAGAGGGGGGCCATGAAAGTGGTCAGAAGGTTGGAACACCTCTCCTATGAAGAAAGGCTGAGAGAGTTGGGGTTGTCCAGCCTGGAGAAGAGAAGGCTCCAGAGAGATTTTATTGAGGCCTTTCAATGCTCACTGGGGGCTTATGAGAAAGATGGGGACAGACTTTTTACCAGGGCCTGCAGTGACAGGACAAGGGGTAATGGTTTTAAGCTAAAAGAGGGTAGATTCAGACTAGATATAAGGAAGAAATTTTTTACAATGAGGGTGGTGAACCACTGG